CCTAAACTTCACATTGGCTGCGTAGCTTGGCCCAATGTACATTTAAAAATAAATGTCAATTGGTTGCATAAGGCTATGTAAGTTGCCTTTTTTAAGAGTCTGCCTATTTCCTTGGCAAATGAGTTTGTTCTTATATGCACTTAGCATTTGTATTTAATCTAGATGGGAATCTTGCTTTTTCTAAACACTTTCTTTTGGACGGGACTGGGTTGGAACAGGAGAACAAGGAGATGGATCACTTGCAAATAGGAGGCTGCAAGCATTCTAGGGGCTTCCTCCAATATTTATTAAAATCTTTATCTAACTCACCTTTGGAACAGACAGGGGCCAGGACACTACATAACTTCAGTGTAGCATAAGCATCACCAGTGGAGTTGTGTTATGCAACTCCAGAACCAATACGGCATGAAATATGTGGCTCAATGGTCAACTCACATAACAGACAACCCCTTGTGACACTACAGCAAGCAAAGACATAGAGGCAATGTGTTTTCCCATGCTACTCCAATTTAATGTACTGCTGTATGCATAATAGTCTCACGTGTGAAACTGCACTGTCAGGTGAATACACTGGGTAAGACCATTGTATGTTGTCAAAAGGAGCCCCCGGTGGCGCAGTGGGTTAAACCGCTGAGTTGCCAAACTTGTTGACCAAAAGGTTGCAGGTTTGAATCCAAGGAGCAGCGTGAAGTTTTGCTGTCAGCCCTAGCTTCTGAAAATCTAGCAGTTCGAAAACATTCAAATGTGAGTAGATCAATAGGTACTTCTCCAGCGGGACGGTAATGGCACTCCATGCAGTCATGCCGGCCACATGACCTTGGAGGAGCACCAACCCCCAGAGTCAGACACAACTGGAGTTAATGTCAGGGCAAAACCTTTATCTTAACCTTATGTTGTAAAAAAACATCAACTTAGCATTTGTAGTTACTTGCTTTTGCACTAATACGATGTTAGTCAGTCAGAGGGCCCTTCCACACAGCCCTATATCTCAAAATATCAAGGCAGAAAATCCTAAATTATGAGGGTGGACTCAGAACCCTTCCACACAACCCTATATCTCAGAATATCTTGGCAGAAAATCCCACATTATCTGAGTGTGGACTCAGATATCCCAGTTCAAAGCAGATATTGTGGGATTTTCCGCCTTGATATTCTGGGTTATAGGGCTGTGTGGAAGGGCCCATAGATATGGAAATGAGGACAGGTTTCCATTAGTATAGGAAGAAGAGAGTTTTAATTTCTTCTGAGCCTAATTGGGAACTTTGGACTTACTCTCTGTCTCAGAGGTAAGGAAGGGAAAACATACTCTGAAAAATCCAAATACGTACTCAGCTATGGAAACCCACTGGTGACCTAGGCAAGTTACATTCTTTCAGCCTCAGAGAAAAGCAAAGGTAAACCTCCTCTGAACAAATCTTGCAAAGAAAACACTTGTGATAGCTTCACGTCAGGGTTGCCATAAGTCAGAAATGACTTGAAAGCACACAGCAACAATTTCAGTTACATGCTCAGTTTCCATCTAGTTGTGCATTTGGTTACATATATTCTTGAATATTCACCTGTACAAGGTTGCCACTCAACATCAGGGTTTCGTAACACATTCTGGCAACCCTAGATGATACTGGTATTTGTTTCCATATAGGGGCAAAGCTACAGTTTTTTCAGTTTTGCGATTATTCATATGAAGGCACATCATCCCTTCAATTTAAACTCTATAGAAAGCACAAGTTCTTGCAATCTGCCCAGGTTCCCTATTCCTGCTACTGAAATACATTGCTAGACATTACTGAGGATAAATAAGCAGTGTATCATACTTAGCACACAAGATGGATGTCAATGCACCAAAATCTATATACTTAGGATTGATGCTATTCATTCCGGCTTGATGCCGAAGAAATTTATTGGAGGGCTAGTGGAGTTTGTCATCAAATCAAGTCAGTCTCCTTTATTTGGATTATATTTCTGTTTCAATCAATTTGTGCTAGAGAACAACATGCATTCTCCTTAGTTTGCTTGCCTCAATAAAGAACAGTGAGTCCTGCAGAAGGACTGGAGGATTGCAGTTGTACACCAGCTGGCATTCTGTACCCATGGAATCAACCATCCATGGCTAGAATATGATTTTGTCTGTTTATATAAGAGACACCATTTTGGCACATCATTGTTTATAATGGGACTTGAACATCCACAAATTTGGTATCCACAGGATGTCCTAAAACCAAAACATAGCAAAAACAGAAGGTGCACAGTATAAAAGAAGTGATATTATTTCTAGCTAGGGTTGAGCTATAATGTAACTCTGAAAAACATAGATCCTGCAGGAAAAGCCAACACAACCAACTTATTATTTGTAACATATTGCTTCCCAAATGTTGCAAGTCGCTTCTGGTGTGAGAGAATCAGCCGTATACAAAGACGTTTGCCCAGGGACACCCAAATGTGTTGCAATCCTGTGAGGAGGCTTCTTTAATATCCCTCACACGCAGAGGTGACCCTAGGTAATTTTCAATGGTAAGCAAACAGTATTTTGCCCCTCCCCCCCAAAAAAACAACAACAAATCACTGATATATATTTTCTGTTCATCGTGGCAGTTCTGTGTGCCATATTTGGTTCAATTCCATCATTGGTGGAGTTCAGAATGCTCTTTGATTGTAGGTGAACTATACATCCCAGTAACTACAACTCGCATATGGCAAAGTCTATTTCCCCCCAAGAGTGCCTCAAGAGCGCCCCTGGGCAAAATCAAGTATACTGCAAATGCTTACTTTGCATAATGGATTGAGCCGCCCCTGCTCACATGCCCAGTGTGGAACATATATCACTACCCTTAAAACAGTGGATGTGGCTCTTAATGAGACATGCCCCATTATCACAGAATATCTACACACCACACCACTGGAGAAATTATACTGTTTAGCCAGTATTGCACCACCTCACATCCGCCAGAAAGTAGCAGCCAATAGTGAAAGGACCAAGGCAGTGATACCTCTGGCACATCCTCTGTTTGGATACCAGCCACCACACAAATGTCTTAAATCAAGAAATAGTTTTCTAAAATCTACAGAGATACTCGCAGGAACACCTCAGCAAGCGAGAGTCCAAAAGTGGCAGGCTAAGACCCAGAACCTCAAACCATGGCTGATACCAAATGAAATATTCCTCCCTGGGCACAAAGAAGACTGGGCAACTTGGAAGGAACTAAACAGGCTGCACTCTGGCACCACAAGATGCAGAGCCAACCTTAAGAAATGGGGCTACAAAGTGGAGTCCACAACATGCGTATGGAGAAGAGCAAATCACAGGCCACCTATTGCAATGCAGTCTGAGCCCTGCCACATGCACAAAGGAGGACCTTCTTATAGCAACACCAGAGTCACTCCTAGTGGCCAGCTACTGGTCAAAGGACATTTAGTATAATGCCAAGTTTTTTTTAAAAAACTTTGTGTTTTTTAAATACATTACAACTGTACCCTTGGTTTGCTTTGGATACGATAAATAAATAAACTTTCCAAATCTGGTTGGCATGATTCATATGCTATTTTATATGCTTGATACTGGCAATTATGTGCCGTGTGCTGTCGCACGCTGGGCCTGTGCATAAGACTGTAGACATGACATAAATTCTGTGTGCCCAACAGAACGCCGGGGCTGCCTGACCTTTGGATTTCCTTAAAACAGAGTCTTTAGATTGCTTAAAGGTTCAACAAAGTTCTTTATTATTGAAAACAAACAGGTACTTTAAGGCTTTCTTGATAGTCTATTAGTTCTCTCTCTCTCTCAATCTTGTCCACAGGGAACAGGCACTATCTTCATAAACTGTATTTTAGCTAATGGGGAAATCCTTAACTTCTAATCTGGGCAGTCTGTCTTTGCCTCTGTTGGCGTGGAGCCCCTGCACCCGGTACCAACTGCTTCTGGCTTCTGCGAGTGACCCTTACCAAGCAGAGCTTTGTAGACTTCCAGGGGAAAAGGAATTCAGGTTTCTGTGATGGCTGGCTGAAGTGCTGTGGGACTGGATTCCCTCAGCAAAGGAGGTGTAAGGCTGTATATCTCCCGGCCAAGCCGTAGAGCCTTTTCTCCCCAGCCAAGCTGTAGAAGACGAAGCTTTCTACAGGAGCTCTTGGTTTACATCCTGTATGAAAGGTTTCTCTGTGTGGACTGGACCCAAAATGGCTCCTATTCCCTCCAAAACCCAAAAAGGGGTGGGACCAGGGAACCTAATGATAATTGACAGGTGGCTTACCCTATGATTACAGCCAAAAGAAGCCACCTATCTGCAGAGTCCTTGAAACTTAGGACTACAACAAACATTAGATGCAAAGCAAACAAAATTGGAGCTCCTGGTACGGCTGTACCTGCACATGCCCAGAGAGGTTCCCTCAATGGTCAGTTTTGGTCCTTTTGTATTTCTTATCCATGCCTTTCATTTAAAAGGGGTTCAACAAAGTGACCCTTAAAGGAAGGTTCTTGAAAATTGCAGCTTTTATGGTCCTTCCATTACAACATTCAGTTAAGATTTGATTTCAATTTGATTTCATATTTTCTTTATCACAAGGGCTTATTTCCTTTGCTCTTAATGAAGCAAAAGCTTCCAAATTATTTCAATACCAGAAAGAGACAAAAAATGCACCAGTGACTGGCAGAGGAGAAAAATACCCCCTCACCAACACAATAATATATCTCAGGACTTGGAGACTGGACACAAAACAGCACACAAGCTGGTGATTAATCTACATATGCAAATGAAAAGGGAAAATGGGTAGCTGCAATTTTTGGTGCTAATTACTGCAATTTCAAACACTTGATAAATAGGTTCCCTAATGGAAAATCCTCCTAAGAGAGATGTTGCTAAGAGATTCATGACTTTCCTCACCCTATGAAAGAATTGGCAGACTCTGGGATGGAAAGGGTGGGGGAGGGAGGGAGAAAAAGCAAAACAGAATAGGAATATTTAGGATGAGAAAGCGGATTTTTGCTTGCACCAATTCACAGGACCTACCATATGCCGGATAACAGACCTTCATGCAGCAAACGGCGCTCAATGCTGTTAGGCTGGTGAGACTGCACAGGCCAAAGAGAACTCCGCAGAAGGCATAAAAGGTGCACATGGCATGGCTAAACAGCCACCTGGAAGGGAGAGATAACCAGGGAAAATAAATGAACTTCCTAAGGAGGCATTCTGTCACCGGCATAGCACTGGGAGGATGATTCAACATCATTGGTCCAAGCTATCCTTTGCATAGTCGTCAGTCCAAAATCATCTAAAGAACAAGATCTGTGTGTGCTCCATAAGAGACACAAGAAGAAACTCAGGATCCAGCTACCCTGTAGATCTGATGCAGTCTAACACCGCTAATAAAAATATGTTTTTAAAGTTTCAAAACGTTTTACTTACCCAATGATTTTTTTGGGAATTTCCAAAACTTTTATAAACAACTTTTCCTTTTTTAAAAAACCACACAAGACCAAACTCCTTGAATTTTCTATACAATGACACAAAATAACAGGGGATCATTCTCCCCAACTTTCATACATTTTGACAAAAATGCTTTTAAAAAGCCACAACAGCTATCTCATTGAATGTCTCCCATATTAACCAATAGAACTTCCATTTAGGGATTTCTTCCCAGCCCAGCACAGAGATTTACTTACTAGAAGTAAGTCAGTCCTCTTCTTTGCAGATTCAACTATTTATTTGAACTCTGGCCGGCTGCTGCTACAGAGAGAAAATAGCTCTCCCCTATCCTTTTTGGGGTTTTCTGATGCAAGCAGACTTCTGGGAAATGTAGTTTAGAGCAGGGCCTTTTTGAATCTGGCACAGGGCTCCTTGCTTTCCCAAACTACATTTCCCAGAATTCTGTACTTTCTCAGTCTATTTCCTAGTGAACTCTGCTTTCTCTCCTAATGGGGAGAGAGCATTAATTTAAAGAGGAATTGCAGTTTTTGGCTTTGCTTGGCTTGCTTGCACTGAACAAGCAACTGAAACTGACTTTGGGAGGCTTCCAAGGTTTACAAAATTCAAACGAAAAAGTATTAGGTAAGTTTCGATTCTTAAGTTGGATATTGCACCGTAAGTACAAATTTAAAAAAAATTGATTTGACTTACAACAACTAACGAAAAATTTGCACAGCCCTAATGTCTACCCAGCTTTTGTGTTGAGATTTGGAGAATCCAAGCCACTTCTAGCTAGTCTATTCCACCACTGAATAAGCAAAAAATTGTCTTTCTAATGTTTAGATAGGATATCTTTTCCAGTATTTTGAATCCTCTGGCTCATGCCTTGATACCTGGAGGAACTGAAAATAAGTTTGATCTTTTTTTCTATATGAAATTCCTTGAGATATTTACATTTAACTATCAACTCATATCTCGGTCTCCTTTTCCAAGCTTTACAGAAGAGTTCTAGGTATGGAGATCATGGAGTACTAGTTAGATATAGATCTCTTTTTCATGGCACATTATTCAGATGAGCTGCTTCCCACAGACAATTATTAAATCTCTGTAGAACTATAAAAAATGCTTATGAATTGCAATTCTCAGAATTATCAAGTTAGCAAGGCTACTGGCTTGTATTTAAGAAACAAAGTGAGCCTTCAAAGCTCTAGAATGGAAAGGACTCAGTTGTGAGGAGCAGAGTGGTCCTGTACATCAGTTCTAAGGCTGAACCACACTATATATGTTGCATATAGAAACATATATAGTCTAGATATATAGGAAGTTGTGGGAGGATACAATTTGCACTGAGACTGTGATGTGGGGAAGATAGTTTAATGTTCATCTGTGCCTTGCAGTCTCAATGCAAACTTGCCCCACCACACATAGCTCGTATTAACTGTAGAAGGGAAGAGAGCTTAAGTTCTTATATTTTCCTCTTCATGGCTATTAGTACGTTTGGATGAAGAAATTAGAGAAAATGAAGATAATCCCTATTTCTTTGCCCTAAAACAGCAACCCAATTTATCCCCCCTACTGTTGTTTCTAAAGAAAACAAAGTTGGCAACAAAAGAATGGAAGATTCTTGCAAAATCCAGGTTGAACTGATGCTGTAAAACTGCTGATGCTACAGAAAAGAGGCAATATTCCCTGGATGGGGAGCCAAGAGAAGCCACATTTTACATCATAGTATTTTAAGAAAGGACTGCAAGGACCATCAGGCCTAACTCTTAACCAGCCTCGGTGAACTTGGGAAAGAATGAATTCATGAAGATGTGAGTCGTGGATGAATGAATCCAGTTACCTGTGTGCAAAGAAGGATGATGTGGCCAGTGGAAAGAGGATCACAGTCATGCCCACATCACTGATGGCGAGATTCACAATAAAGAATTCAGCAGGTTTTAAGATGGTTCTCTTCCGATATGCTACCAGCAAGAGGAGAGAGTTTCCAAAGAGAGAGACTACACCTGGGAACAAAAACAACTGAAAGTCACAAAGGGTCAGTGCATGATTCAGAAATATTTGTACGTAGTGTCACATTTTCTCACTCTTCACAAACATAAAGGTATGAATGACACAATGCATTGATTTGTGTACAGTGCAACATTGTTGTTCTTCTGGTTGTTGGGAATTACAATGTTTATTTTGGCAGTAGGCAGCAATGAATGAATGGTTCTCTTGATGTTTCTGGAGCAGAACTTCTATCAGCATAAGCCAACATTGAGTACATATAAAGGTAAAGGTTTCCCCTGGACATGAAGTCTAGTCATGTCTGACTGGGTTGGTGCTTATCTCTATTTCTAAGCTGAAGAGCTAGTGTTGTCAATAGACGCCTCCAAGGTGATGTGGCCAGCATGACTGCATGGAGCGTCGTTACCTTCCCGTCAAATCAGTACCTATTGATAAACTCACATTTGCATGTTTTTGAACTGCTAGGTTGGCAGAAGCTGGGGCTAACAGTGGGAGCTCACCCCACTGCCAACCGAACCGCCAACCTTTCAGTCAGCAAGTTCAGCAGCTCAGTGGTTTAACCCGCTGCACCACTGGGGGCTCCATCTACTATAGAATTAATTCAGTTTGATACCATTTTATGGCCATGACTCAGTGCAATTGAATACTGGGATTTGTAATTTGATGGGGCACCAGTACTCTTTGGCTGAGAAGGCTAAAAGGCTTATAAAACTATGAGTCTCATGGTTCCATAGCATTGAGCCATGGCAGTTCAAATGTTGTCAAACTGCATTAATTGTACAGTACAGATGCAGCCAAAGACAGTGGCTAATGATGATGGGAATAGCATGATCTTACCACTCTTAAAAAAAACCCCTTCATATCTTCCTTGTAAGACATCCTATTTCACAGATAGATGCTGTTACTGGTAATACATAGAAGAATTTAACAGTGGTGCAGTGGATTAAACCCTTGTGCCAGCAGGACTAAAGACCGACAGGTCGCAGGTTCAAATCCGGGGAGAGCGTGGATGAGCTCCCTCTGTCAGCTCTGGCTCCCCATGTGGGGACATGAGAGAAGCCTCTCACAAAGGATGGTAAAACATCAAAACATCCTGGCGTCCCCTGAGCAATGTCCTTGCAGAAGCAACTTCCAGTTTCTCAAGTCACTCCTGACAAGAAAAAAAATCCTACAGTATTTCCTGAATTCGCTGAATCTTGGATCACATTTCAGCAATGCATTTCCTTATTTTCTATGGGCCGGAATAAGGGTGTAGCAATAGGGGAAAATGGGAACACTGTCCACATAAAAACTCTGCCCCTCCATGAAATTCTGTTCCAGTCTCAAAGTGTATCATGGTAACTTAAAACTTTGGTTAGCCATTTGAAAAGACAGTCTAGGCATCCAAAGAAATGAGGCAGCCAAACTGACCAAAGGAAAAGTAAATGCAACAGTTACAAGAAGTCTGATATGAATAGTTTTCACTACTTTGCTCTCTGCAATGCTAGAAATTTGGGGATAAAGGGAAAATTCAAGGCAAGGGAAAACACTGGTTTTGGGTGAGCAATGCCATCATTCCCATCACCACCACCGTCCCAGAGCAAAAATAAAATAAGACTTCAAAGAGCCTAGTATTATCTTTAAGCATTCACTGAGTATTTTTCAATTAATGTTAGTGATAGTTAGAAGTTATTCTAATCAGAATAGCTTTGCTTGTGAATGATTTGGGCCACAAATTCTAATCTTCACTTGAGAGAATGGGAGATTTTCAATTAAGACCCATCTTAACAGTTTGAAATCAGTGATGTTCAAATTATTTTTTCCTGGCAACTTTCCTCCTATAGATCTGTTTTATACAATAATATATTATGTGTGCAAAACAAACAGGACAAGGAACATCGTGAAGATTATGTAAAATCCAGCAGAAGCTGCAGGGACAAGCTGTTCTTTTGTTTGAACATAGTTGAGACAACAGTGGTAATTAAAATTTAATGCCCAGGATTTTCCTTTTCTATTAAGTCATGCTAATTTCATTTAAAAAGAGTTTCCCTATATAACCACAAAGGAGGTCCTGATTAATCCAAGGGCAGGTTTGGGGCGATTGGAATGACTTCCTGATAGATTAGCTTGCAAATTAAATATTATGATAACAGTAACAGGCTAGGGATGTGGAAAGGCTGCTTTAGCAATATTATCCTCTGCCAGATCTTCAGCAGCAACAGCCCATCACTCCTAAACCACATGCATATCAGAACTGAGTGAAAATCACTTAGATCTATATGTTCTGTTTTCCTTTCCTCTTGACGATTTGTAGTGCAAAGCACTGGGTATCGCTGTGTGTTGTGGAGATGGACAGTAGTGGATTCAACATGAGTCCAGGTTTCAGTTTAGTCACGTCAGTTCAACTGTATTTATATCCCATCCCATCTCCCCTCGGTGCAGCTTAATGCTTAGTGTAATGGAGACCCTAGTGAGCCTCATAGATGAACCATAGTTTCAAATCAAGACTCCAAGGCTGGATCTGCCATATAATCCAGATAATCAAAACAGATTATCTGGGGGTGAATTGGATTATGTGAGTCTACACTACCATATAATCCAAAGCAGATAATATGGATTTTATATGGCAGTGTAGATTCAGCCTAAATTAGGCTTCCTCAACCTGGGGTCCTTGGAAACCCAGAATTCCTAGCGTGGTTGCTAAAGGTTCTGTGAGAGATCATAATTGAGAAAAACAACCTTTTAATACAGCTGTAAATGTATTATCTTAATGCAGGGGTTCCGTGAGACCTGAAAATTATTTCAAGGATCCCTCCAGGGTTAAACGTTGAAAATGGCTGTTGTAACCAGTGCATAACACTGATCTCTGGGAAGGTGGCTCATAAGCACATTCACCCAGTTCCTCTCAGTGTTTGAAAAGAAATATTGTTTGGGATTCGGAACAATGACTTCAAACTACAGGAAATGAGATTCCACCTGAATATTAGGAAGAACTTCCTGACTGTGAGAGCTGTTCAGCAGTGGAACTCTCTGCTCCAGAATGTGGTAGAGGCTCCTTCTTTGGAGGCTTTTAAGCAGAGGCTGGATGGCCATCTGTTGGGTGTGCTCTGAATGTGATTTTCCTGCTTCTTGGCAGGGGATTAGACTGAATAGCCCATGAGGTCTCTTCCAACTAAATGATTCTATAACTCTATGATCCTACAGCCTACAAACTTCAAAATGCATAACTCTTAAGGTGCATCAAAGAGACTGAACTTCAACATGTACATTATCAAACTTCTACCACTGAGAGCTATGGCATGGATGGGGCAAAGCCAAGTATCCCTGCCAATATTCATCAACAGGCTTATCACACAATTAATGGACTGAGAATTAGCAGCCCACCTAATAAGATGGGAACTATAGGCAGTGTTCAGTAAGTATTAAATCTTGTACAACTGAGATTTTGCAGGACAAGATTGGCCTTTCTCTTTTTTTCTTGTAATACGGGGGCAGACAGTGTCTAATATTCACCTTCTGCTGAAGAAAGTCCCTGGAGAAGGATGCCTTTTGTTAACACTAACTTTGGCGTACATTGTCATCAGAAAAGCATGAGCTGGGACTGCAAAGCTATTACCAGGCTGACTCACAACATCCAAATGATTGCTAAAGACTGGATGGATAGCAAAGGACAAAACAATAACTTAGGTCACCAGTAGCCAAGAGGGTGGCCAAAGGGGAACAGCAGCTCAAGGAGAAGAATCCAGACATTCTCCAGGAGCTTTCTGCATCGTGACCACTATTTCCTGCTAACAATTACAATGTGTTCATGATCCAACTTGGCACCACTGGTAGCAAAAGCAATGCAAACCCAAACCGGAGTTATTCTTGGCCTACAAGGGAGAGCTATTTAGGCCACAACTATTGGCACTTCTGAAAGGCATTTTGGTGTTGCATTGAGAGCATATCAGCACTTACGTAATTCTTCTTGTGGCCTGTCTATTGCATGTTTCCTGCACCCCATTAGGCAGATTCCTACTTTATGTATATTAGCTCCAGAGATGTGCAACTGTGTCTTGAAGGCCAGCACCTTTGCCAGACCAGACACGCAGGTTGATCCCTTCATTTTACAAGTTATTTTTGCCGAGGGACTATCAGTTCCTTTTCTCTCTGACAGCAGTGATCCCTTTTCCAGTGCATCATTAAGCATCTCCAGGAAGAAGACAGGATTGACACTGATTAATTTCCCCTGCTGCTTTTGGGAGGCTGAAACAGACAAGTCCCTAGAAAGGCAGATGGTCAGGATTGTGCGCATTGTGTTTCTTAATTCTCTTTCTCGAATGCTGTTAGTTTTGTGCCTAGCTGCTATAGTCCCATGCCCCTTTACCACTATGACCAGGTCTAGAACAGGTATGGGCAAACCCAGGTCTGGGGCTGGATGCAGCCCCATGGGCTCTTTCTCAGGCCCTCTTCTCTCACACCATCCAATCCTTCCTTCCTTCTTTCTTTCTTTTCTCCTTCCCCCCTCCTTCCTTCCCTCTTTCCGCCCCCTTCCCTCTCTCTTTCTCCTTCCTTCCTTCTTTCCTTCCCCTTTGTCTTTCCTCTCTTCTCTTTTCCTTCTCTCCCTTCCCTCTCTCCCTCCATTCCCTTCCACCCTTCCCTCCTTCTCTTCCTCCATTTCTTCTCTTTTTCCTTCCTCCTTTCCACCTGGGGAATGTTTAGCTGGGAGAAGAGAAGGTAAAGAGGGATTATAAGAACCATGTTTCAAGATTTAAAAGGGTGTCCCTTTGAGGAGAAGGGGAATAAACTGACTTTCTGCTGCTCTAGAGACCAGGGCACAAGGGAGCAATAGTTTCAAATGGCAGGGAAAGAGATTTGACTGAAAAGATTAAGAAGAACTTCCTGGAGAGTGGCATAGGTTGCCTGGGAGTGTGGTGGAGCCTCTTTCTCTGGAGGTTTTCCGCAGAGGCTGTCTATTGGAAGTGCTTTGGTTGTGCCTTCTTGCATGACAGGGGGTTGGACTAAATAGCCCTTGAAC